TTAAGTAAAGGACAATTTTAGAAGACATTCATATATAAAAATTAAGTCTTTCCTTGTATCATTATTTTTCCCATGTTTTTTAACTATTCTGCAGTAACTGCATATAACTTCCATGGTTTTCATACCTGTATTATTAGAGGCTCCAGTAGCTTCTCTACAGTAAATGTTTGGACCTGCAGATCCTGAGGGTTGATTTTCAGTATGATAGGCGTTTCAGCAGACATGCCTCCTATGCACCCTATGCACAAACACACAAAATGTTTATTAGTAAAGAAAAATACTTTTTTTTTTTTTTGGTACCAAGGATCAAACTCGGGACCTTGTGCTTGTGAGGCAGGCACCAGAACTACTGAGCTAAATCCCCGGCCCAAGAAAAATACTATTTAAACTGGTTGTTCTTTTAAAATTTTGAGCAATGTAGTAAGCCAGAGAGAGGCCTTCCTGTTTTTTTTTTGGTACCAAGGATCAAACTCGGGACCTTGTGCTTGTGAGGCAGGCACCAGAACTACTGAGCTAAATCCCCGGCCCAAGAAAAATACATTTTTAAAGATGAGAACTCAGAAAAGTTATGGAGTAGGTGAAACTTGTATTCAGTACCTTTTCCTAATATCAGCTATAGCCCTCAGAGGATCAAGTGCCAAATCCACCATCAGAGAAACAACATATTGCTTAGATATACTAACAAATTAATCTATGCTAGTAAATTCATAATTAAATTAAAAACCCATCAAATGGGTTTGCATTTGATCAAAAGTGAAAAAAACTGCCAACTTGATGAGACATATCTTTCAGCATGCAGTCCTTTGACTTCCATGAAATCATAGCACTGAAACAGCCCACACATATTTTTAATTAATTAAGTTTATTGGTACATTTTAGATATTCATAATGGTCATATCATCACAGGGAATTCATACCTGTACATGATATATCTTGATTCTTTTTTCCCATTCCCCTCTCCTCCCTTCAAATCCCTCCTTATTTACCAAAGCTTTGTTTCCATTTTTTTCCTTCTTTTATTTTCTTTCTTTTCCCTTCCTTCTTTCCTCCTCCACCCTCCCTAGTTCCCCTTTCCATTTGAACATTTTCTTTGTATTTCACAATATCTTCTATATATTTTGGTCCTGTTCTTATTAATGATGACTTAGATGAGAAGCCAGGTAGAACTTCGGAAGATATGTGGCTATCTCTACTTGCTTTGGGGCTTGTTTATTTTAGGATTTTGCAGTCAGGTTGGGGAAATTTACTTTCTTATATAGAAAAGAAATTAATATGAACAAGTATAGATGTTTCAAAAAAAGAAAAGCCCCTGAGAAGGCACTGATATGTGGGCAAGACAAATAAGAGAAAATAATAATTATAAGCCATTCTTTGAGACATTAACATCATCCTCAAGAATAAATTCGAGACATTTGTAGAAAAATGATTGCACCTGGAAAACATATTGGTGAAATAAATTAGACAAACAAGCTTACATACTAACCATAATATTAACCTATTAATATTAACCTATTCACAGTCAATAATCAACTAGCAAGTATTTACTGAAGATCCACAGTAAAGGTTACATAAAGGGTTAAAAACATACAGCTCTTCTGATTACACTTTGACCTATTTTAAAATATAAAAACCTTTAAAGAATGTTTAAATCCTATGGTCCACAGAAACATGTATGTAACAATGTAAAAACCTTCTAGTTCAGCTTCTACCTATTTTCTTTCATAGTTTCCCTATTTTCAGGCTAAGCAAAAATAAAAATCTTCACCTCAAAAACATCCTGATATCCCTATGATTCCCATGAAAACAAAAATCCAATCATATTGTTTAACTCACTTTTTCTGTTTATTATTATAAATAAGGGCAATTTTTTTTTTGGTACTGGGAATCAAACTTAGGAATTTGTGCCTGCGAGGCAGGCAGTGGAACCACTGAGCTAAATCCCTTGTCCCTATGAGGGAAATTTTTAATGGAGGAATTGGCTATAAATGGACAGATGGATCAAGGGGTGGATGAGCATATTTTATGGTGTCTCTTATAATCAGGATCAATACCTTCATTTTTCCACCTAATCTCAATGATTCTAGGAGAGAAAGGCATTCTCTTTCCTATACCTGTCTCCAACTCCTAAGGGATATATCATAATCTCAGGATAGAGCTCATGTTCCCTCCAAATTTCTTCCCCTGAAAGTCTGCCACTATATTCCTCCTGTCTTTCTCATCTTTCCTTGGCCTAGTTCCAAAAAATTGCACCTCTTTGCTAATCCACCTCTCCCACTCTGCTGGATACTCCTCTGAGATGCGTGTGTTATTGGATATACTCAAAGATATTCATGGTCTCTGTCTGCACCTATGGGTAAATGAAAAGATCAGGGCTTCACAAGGCCCTTCCAAACTGTATAACTGATACACATTCAGAGAGAGAGAGAGAGAGAGAGAGGCAGAGAACCAACTGTATACCTAATATACATGCAGAGAACCATTCTCTTTAGCTCTTATTTTGACATGCCCTAACATAATCTGTTTAAACAAAAAAATAGAGACAAACACTGTAGAATTTAGAAGACTTACTGACTTACTGCTCTTCATGTTATATGATTACACTCCACTATATTCTTAATACAAAAATGTATGTATGAATTATTCAGAATAACAGAAATCTTTTGAAAGGCTATGTCTAGTGACTTAACATAGTATTTGTACATAATCAAAACAGTAGATTTCATACATATAGTCAAACATAAAATTTCTAATTCTTTCATGTGTCTTCAGGAAAGTTTAATATTAAAACAAAGATAATTATACTGAAAGACTCAAAGGAATAAATTATGACAAATTTATTTATAAAAGTATTTAAGAAAAAAAATAAATAAAATAAAAGTATTTAAGTACAATTATATTCTCTAAGGTTTTTTATACTATTAAAACCACTAATGCATACTAATCACATAGTATCACAACATTTTTTAGTCAACACAGGAAATTATATTAAGCAATTTGAAGTTGTAGGAAAAGGACAATTTACATATTGAGTGTCCTCAGGTTGCACTAGCCATGATTCTAAATAGCTATATTATGTATTCATTGACTGAAACCCACAGAAAAAGTTGATGATTTCATGTAAAAACCACCATCATTGTTGACTACAGAGATACAATACATTTTGTGAAATGTTGCATATTTCTAAATAGTTCTGTTACTGAATATAACTCATATTGCCCGCTCAGGGTCCCCTTCCCATCTTCAATGCAGTCAACTGTGGTCTTAGTCTATGCTTTTCTTTACTATTAATCACTTACAAAAAGCACCTTCTATTCCCTTTTCTTTTCTTTTTTTTAATTTTATCGGTACATTTTAGGTATACAATATAACAACATTCATCATTGGAAATTTGCACCTTTACATAATATATCTTGGTTCTTATTTTTCCCCATTCCCTTGCCCACCCATCAACCCCTCCACCCCTCCCTATTTACAAAGACTTTGTTTCCATTTTTTCATTTTCCCATATTAATTCCATTCCCTTCTTTCCTTTCCTCTACCCCTTCCACTTCCCCTTCCCCTTTGCACTTTTTGTTCTTATTTCACATTATCTATTATACCTTTAGATCCTTATTTACACTTTCAGTTTCTCACACCAGAGAAACCATTTGGTATTTACACATGTGTCCTATTATTTCACTTGAGTATTGCTTCAGGGCACATCCATTTAGCCATAAATGTCTCTAGTTTCTCATTCTTTATGAGTAGTACTCCATTTAATTTTTTAAAAACACATTTTCTTTATCCAGTCTCCAGTTGATGGACAATTGGACTGCTTCCAAGTTTTAGCTATTACAAACTGTGCCACGATGAACATGGGTGCACATATATCGCTGTGGTAAGATTCTTTTAATTCTTTGGGGAAGATACCCAGCAGGGGAATAGCTGGGTCAAATGGGACCTCCAATCCTAGTTCTTTGAGGTATCGCCATACTGATTTCCACAGTGGTTGAACCACTCTACACTCCCACCAAGAGTGGAGAAGTGTTCCTTTTTCCCCACAACCCCCCCACCCAGCATTTGTTATTGGTTGATTTCATGATAGTAGCCATTCTTTCTGGGGTGAGGTGAAATCTCAGCATTGTTTTCATTTGCATCTCTCGAATGACTAGTGATGATGAACATTTTTTCATATGCTTATTTGCTATTTCTACTTCTCTGTCTGAGAAATGTCTGTTCATTTCAGATGCCCACTTTTGGACTGCATCTTTAAATTTGGGAGATCTGATTTCTTAAAGTTCTTCATATACTCTAGATAGTAGACCTTTGTCTGAGGAACAGCTGGTAAAAAATTTTTCCACATTGTGGATTGTCTCTTCACACTGTTGGTGGTTTCTCTTGCTATGCGGAAGCTTTTTAGTAAGAGACACCACTTGTTGATTGTGCTAGTTCACAGGCAAATGAGGTTTTGTTCATAGAATCTTTTCCTATGCCAAATGTCTTCAAGAGTTCTACCTAACCTCTCTTCCAGCTGATTTAGTGTTCCTGTTTTAATATTTAGATCTTTGATCCATTTTGATTTTAGTTT